TTTTTTTTTTACTTTGCGGCGCTGTTGAATCCCCTCGAATCTGTCTCATGGTCAGGTTTACCATGGCGATTCTTGCTGGACCGGTGCTTTGCCCACTGGCCCAGGGGTCCAAATGCGTGGACAGGCCTGTGCTCCATGTGCAGCGACGTTCCTCAAGCCTCCATGGTGTCCTCACATCCAGCGGGATATGATTGGGGGTCCCTGATAAACCTAGTGGAGAGGAATGAAAGGAGAAAAGAGACATGAGAAATGAAGGCAAGACAGGATTTCTGATCAAGCCGTCCAGTTTATTATTTCCTCAGAAGCAGTTATATAGCAATAGTGCAAAGGGGGTAAGGGAAAGGTGTCAGGGGTAAGGAAAGGGTGTCAAGAAGCTGAGGTCTGCTGGAAGTCAGGGCAGAGATGTCCCCAGCTGAGAGGTAAATACTGAGGTTCTGTGATTATTGACTAACAAAGGAAAATGCTAATGAGTTCCAGAGCCTGGTTCCTGCCGATCTCTGCTAGGAGAAAGAAGCCAGTTTGAATTCCTAGACCATGCAGAGGGGAGAGGTAAATATTTTTCTTAACTTGTGAGCTTAAGATGACTGTAAACAAATGAAGATCTCAAAATACAGGTCTTTTTTCCAGCAAACAGCAATACTAATTCCACAAACACATGCAAATTAAAAAATGCTCTCATGAATCATAAATGGGTCAAGGAATAAATAAATGGAAAAATTAAAGATTTCCTAAAATTCAATGTAAATAGCCACACAACATACCCAGATTTACGGGACACTATGAAAGCAGTGTTAAGAAGAAAGTTCATAGCACTAAATGCCTACATAAAGAAGCTGGAAATATTCCACACTAGTGAATTAACAGAACATTTGAAAACTTTAGAACAAAAAGAAGCAAATTCACCCAAGAGAACTAGAAGGGAGGAAATAATGAAATTGAGAACTGAAATCAACAAAATTAAAACAAAGAAAACAATATAAAGAATCAAAGAGACAAAGAGTTGATTCTTTGAGAAAATCAACAAAATAGACAAACCTTTACTCAAACTAACCAAAAGGCAGAGGGAATATCCAAATTCAAAAAATCAGACATGAAAGGGGGGGCATAAAAACAGGTATGGAGAAAATACAGAGAAACATCAGGTCATATTTTGAAAACCTGTAGTCCAATAAATTGGAAAACTGAAAGGAAATGAACAACTTTCTGGATAAATATCACTTATCAAAATTAAATTAAGACCAGATAAGCAAATTAAACTGACATATAACTGCTGAAGAAACGGAAGCAGTCATAAAAGTCTCCCAACCCACCCCCCAAAAAACCAGAAAAACAAAAAAAAATAAAAAACAAACAAACAAAAAACAGCCCAGGACCAGATGGTTTTAGACAGAATTCTACAAGATTTTCAAAGAAGAACTACAACAAGTACTACTCAAATTATTCCACACAATAGAAACAGAAGGGATATTGCCAAACTCTTTTTATGAGGCTACAATTACCCTGATACCCAAACCACAGAAAGACATTACTAAGGAAGAGAATTACAGACCAATCTCACTCATGAACATTGATGCAAAAATATGCAATAAAATACTGGCAAATCGAATCCAAGAACACATCAGAATCATCATCCACCATGATCAAGTCAGCTTCATCCCAAAGATGCAGGGATGGTTCAACATATGAAAATCTGTCAATATAATCCACTGTATAAATAAGCTGAAAAATAAAAACCATATGATCATCTCATTAGATGCCAAAAAAGCTTTCGACAAAATACAACATCCCTTCATGATAAAGGTCTTGGAGAGAGCAGGGATACAAGGAACATACCTAAACATAATTAAGGCAATATACAACAAACCAACAGCCAACATCAAACTAAATGAAGAGAAACTCCCAGAGATCCCACTGGAACTAGGAACAAGATAAAGTTATCCACCTTTTCCGTATCTATGATATATACTTCTTGAGGTCTTAGCTAGAGCAATAAGACACCAAATGGAGATCAAGGGTATACAAATTGAAATAGTAGTCAAACTCTCACTATTGGCTGATGACATGATAGTTTACATAAGCAACTTCAAAAATTCTACCAAGAAACTTCTACACTCATAAGCACTTTTAGTAATGTAGCAGGATACAAGATTAACTCAAAAAAGTCAGTAGCCCTCCTGTACACAGATGATAAAATGGCTGAGAAAAAAAATCAGAGAAACATCACCCTTCACAATAGCCACAAATTGCATAAAATATCTCAGAGTAACTCTAACCGAACAAGTGGAAGACTTGTATGACAAGAACTTTAAATCTTTAAAGAAAGAAATTGAAGAAGACACCAGAAGATAGAACAACCTCCCATGCTCTTTGGTCAGTAGAATTAACATAGTAAAAATTGCAATCTTACCAAAAGTAATCTACAGATTCAATGCAATGCCTATCAAAATCTCAGCAAATTTTTCACAGACCTTGAAAGAACAGTACTTAATGTCACATGGAAAAGCAAAAAACCCAGGATAGCCAAAACAATCCTGTATGATAAAAGAACTTCTGGAGGAATCACAATCCCTGACTTCAAACTCTACTACACAGCTACAGTACTGAAAACAGCCTGGTATTGGCATAGGAACAGACAGGAGAGCCAACGGAACTGAATATTAATCCACACACCTTTCAACACCTGATATTTGACAAAGAAGCAAAAAATATCAAATGGAAAAAAAGAAAGCATATTTAACAAATGGTGCTGGCATACCTGGATATCAACATGTAGCAGATTGAAAATAGACCCATATTTATCACCATGCACAAAACTCAGGTCCAAATGGATCAAAGACCTCAACATAAAGCCAGCCACACCATACCTTATAGAAGAGAAAGTGGGAAGTATACTTGAATGCATTGGCACAGGAGACCACTTCCTAAATATAACCCCAGCAGCACAGACACTGAGAGAAACAATTAATGGGACCTCCTGAAACTGAAAAGCTTCTGTAAAGCTTATGTATTTTTATGTATTTTTTGTGTGTGTGGTCATGAGGGACTGTTAATTCAGGTGTGTGTGTATATATGTTTCTCTGTGTGTATGTATGTGTGCAAATATTGACATTTCCTCTTACACATGTAGAGGCTAAAGTACAAATTGAGGAGCCATTCCCTTATTTCTTGAGACAGAGTGTCTTACTAGCTTCAAGTTTGCTAAGTACACTTTGCTGACTAACCAGTGAGCCCCAGAAACATACCTGTCTCAGCCTCCTTTTACTGGTACACAGTTCACTCAGCTCTGTTTGATCTGACTGCATCTGCCTCTAGGGATAATATTAAAGCCCATGCCCACCTCACCAGGCTCTCCATACGGATACTAGGGATCAAGCTCAGAATACAAATTCCCAATAGCAAACACAATATGGACTGAGACATTTGCTTGTTCCATACACTTATGACTAAAACAACTGTATTTCAATGGCTTAATTATCTGTGAACAATGTAAATCTGAGGACACTCAGCCAGGACAGGTGGAAAGCTTGCTCTCCTAGAGCCTCAGCCTTCAGCATTTGTTCCCCTCTCTGTGTGAACTTCTAACAGCTGTTCCCCATTCCCCGCATCCAGAGAGGATCTGCTCACTCATCTCTCGCCAGCAGTCAGCACCACCATGCAGAGTCCCTCCATCGTCACCTCTGCAGTCACCACAGCTGGACTGGAGGGCACAGAGGGCCAGAGGAATCCTTCACATGTGAACCTGAGAGCCACAGTGGCTGCAGCTGTGTTCATAACACCAGTCTATGTGTTGATAATCTTCCTCTGGTGGAAACAAAGGTAAATGGTCCAGGACAGGGCCTCACCTGAGCTATCCCTCTGAGTTCTCACAGTTGTGGGACATGGAGATAAGTAAATGGATTAGTCAGGGTTCTCAAGAGTCACATACATATACACACTGCATGAAAATAAATTTTTAAAAAGTAGAAAAATAGTGAAATATGTAAGGATATTTGTTTAATGGAAAATGTTCTACTATGACTCCTTACAACGCTATACAATCTAAAGGTTCAATGCAATCATATTCAAATCCCAAATGCTTTTTTATAAATGGAAATGATATGACTTCTAAAATTGAAAGGATTATAAGAAGCAAATATGGAGACATAGTCGGGAACACCTAATACCAACATTGGGAAGTGCACAGGGGGAACTAAGAGTACAAGGTCAACTGAAGTTACATGGAAAATTGAAGGTCACCCTGGCTTCCACAGACCTTGGACACACATAAAACAAAAGCAAAGTGTGGACTGGATTCAAACATACTTCAATCCACGGTAAGTAGAAGAGTACAGCACAGGAACAGAGATGAGCAGACAGTGGAGTGCAATGGAAAGCACAGAAATACAGACTTGAGCATGCAGGCCCTGGTTTGCAGAGGGGCTCAGCCCTTCAAATGGTAAGAAGAACAGCTGAGGACTGGAGAGCAACAGACTGGGAGGCAGCAGAAGTCTGACTGGGATTCTAAACCTTAGATTGAATCTGCAGGGTCCAACAGTTTGTACTCAGGGAAAGTCAGAGAGCCAGTTTGCAGGGGTACAAAAGGGAGGCATTGTGAGTACAAAGCAGGGAGAGCAAGGACGGGACATGAGTTAAAGGCGGGGGAAGGAAATAAAGGAAGAAGGGCATGGACTAGGGACCATGGATCTGGGGAGTGATCCTATGATGGGTCGTGTTTTGCAGAAGGACAGCTGAGAACTAGCCTCAGATCCTGGTGACTCTCAGACCTGTCCCTGAATGTCTGCTGCAGAGCTGCCCTGGGCCCCTAATGTTTCTGAACGCAGAGAATAGCTGAGAGGCAGATAGAAGATCAGCATGACTAACACACTGACAATGTTTCTTCTCCTACAGGACAACAGAATGAAGCCAATACCCCAGTCAGGTGAACGACTGTCATCCCATGGCGCAGGCAAGGAGACGTTTGTTATAAGAGGCATGCAAGGGAGCTAAAGAGACAGTTGAGTAGAAAGCTCTTGTACATGGGCAGGATGACTTGAGTTTAATTGGGAGCACACACATTATAAATTTGTAGTCCCAGTTCTAGAAAAATAAGTGACAGCCAGAGTCGTAGTGATGTCTGTCCAGCTAGTCTAGCATTATTGTTGAGTTCCAGGCCAATAAGAGACCATGTCATAAAAAATAATGTGGATTCTTCAAGGGCATGAATCATGGTCATGGCATTTTCTAAGTTCATTTTAAATAAAGCATTTTAAAAATACATATTGATGAATAAAAGAAAAGTGGGGAGCAAAGGGATAGCTCTGTGGGAAAAGGGTCTGCAGCCAAGCCCAATGACTTGAGTTCATTTTGGGGACCCAAATTGTGGCAGTAGAAAACTGACTACGGAAAACGGTCATTTTCTTCTTAAGCACAGCACTATCTGTTAGTCCCGAGCTAAGAGAACTCCAATAGCCAGGATCTCTCACCAGGGTGGTGAGTTTCCATCAAAGTAGGGCTTGCTGACCACACACACTGCATCTCACCGGCTTCCTTGTTTCCTGCCTGGGGATCAGAGAGCAGGGCTGCAGGCCTGTGCTGTGAAACACACATCCTTGGACAGGTACAAGGAGAGAACCCTCACATCTGCTGTGTGAACTCTGAATTCCTCTCCTCAGAACCCAGGTCAATCTATCTGTGTCTGGTCCTGAGATCCCAACTCTGCTATTTTCTATCTGTCCATGGAGTTAATAACACTTTTTAGTAAATGTCTTCCTCCCAACAATGCATCTCATGTCTCTCTTAATACCCCACATTAAATCTTAGAGAATATCAGATTGTGTCCAGAAGCAGGGACACTGAGAGTTGCAGCGACCGTGGTCCACAATGAGAACCACTGCCTGAAAATTCTGGTTCCTCCCTTACTCCATAGACACCGTCATCTCAGCTACAGGCCCCAAGCCCTCCATGCTCCTCATCAGGTGACAGACGATGGCTTGTTTGGGTTCATATTCAGCTTCCTTTCCTCACAGGCCCATCTACAAATACTCACTTTCCTTATTTCCTGCCATGATGATATTCTGACCTTAGGAGTCTCCCCTAGGACAAGACTTCCTTCCCAAGTCCAGTTTGTCTTAACATTTAATAGTCAGTGGGCCAGTTTCTACCAAAGGGCCCACTGAGACATAAGGACAGCATTCATACTGACCAATAAGGATGAAGTCCAGTCTGCTTTCATAGTCAGAGGTGGTACATGAGCATGTGGCAGTGTGGCTGTAGCTGGCCCCCATGTGCCCATAGGAAGTGGCACTATTAGGAGACATAGCTTTGTTAGAATAGGTGTGACCTTGTTGGAGGAAGTGTGTCATCACAGGGGTAGTTTTTAGGTCTCTTATGCTCAGGCTACTCTTATGGTAGATGAAGTTCACTTCTCGATGCCTGTGGATTCTGATGGATGACACTCAGCTCCTGCTCCTGCTCCATGTCTGCCTGAATGCCACCATGTCCCACCATGAAGATAATGGACTTAACCTGTGAAACTGTCAGCCACCCCAAATTAATTATTTCCTTTCTAAGAGTTGCCATGCTATGGTGTCTCTTGACAGCAATAGAAACCCTAAGACAGACATGCAGGATTCAGATTCAACAATCACAGCCCTGCACAGATGCAGCTCTTATTCCCTCAATGACAAGCCTCTAATTTATATTAATCAGGGTTCTTTGCTGAGTCAGTGGAAAATTGTCCCATCCTGATCAGACTAGCTGAAGACAGGAGTGATAGAGAAGTCAAGAAGGCTTTTCCGGACTAAAGTAGAGTCTTCTGGGGCATCTGTGAGATGTCTGCTGTGGTGTAACTGGATCCAACCCTCTGAGGTTGAACTCAGCATCAGCTGTGGTCACAGTGATCTTGGTTGTTGTGGTGGTGACTCCTCTGAGCACCCATGAGGTATTCATATAAGCAGGCTGCCATGATGACTATCTGCCAAGTATCTGGGAACAAAGAAGAGGCCTCATGGATGGTACTCCAACAGTCATGTGGCTTGCCAAACAAGTTTCCACTATTCAGAAGGGAGGAACAACAAAGGGGCCTATAACAAAGCATTGAACAGAACCAACATTCTCAACAACATTTAGGTCAAATTCCCTCAGGGTGAAGGAAACATGACTGTTTGAATGGGAACAGACATGGGGTCTAGCTGGGGTGCCACTCTTTAGGATTTGTGTTCCATTGCCAGGAATCCAGGCATGGTGCCATAATCCTGTAATCCCAATGACTGACAGGTAGAGATAGCAAGATTTTGAATTGGAAGTTAACATTAATACCTATAGAGTCTAAAGCCAACCTGAGCTCCATGAGACTCTGTCTTGAAACCAACAAACCAAAGTTAACCAAAACTCCAAACAGTACAGAGGTCATGGAGGCAGGTCATCCATTAGTTCACTTTGGTTAAAGACAGAAAACCTGAAGATGTAACCAGTTTTTCTTTAGATCACTGAAACAAATTTTGTGACTATTAATAGTTTCATTTAAGCAATATATAAAGTTGAAGAGGAGATTGAGTTTCACAGTTTCTGTGACCTCAAACTCAATGACATATGATTTTCTTCCCCTGCCTTGGCTACCTGCAGAATCTGGGGTATTTCATACCACAGGAGTAGGTGACAGACCTGGTTACCCCGCCACTCACTGGACTTTAGGACTTAGTAGAGAGTCTCTTCTGGGGGCTTTCCTCTACAGGGTTGGAGGGCGGGGCTCCTGCTGAGGTTGAGCAGCACATGACAGGGAGAAAGAAGGGTTCAGATGGGTCCAGGCCAACTCTACTATTGTGAAGTTCTAGTTGGAGCCTAAGTATTCAGTCTACACCACCAGCCACCATCCTTCCACCCACTCTAGCATCTCCTCACCTCTCTTCAGGACCCACTCTGGGCAGCTACTCTGGATTCCTTCTGGGCTGTCTTAGTTGTCACTGGGGAAAAGAATTCAAGGAGTGGGAGAGTAGCTGGTGGGACAGATGGGTGGACAGATGGGCAGTTTTCATCCATGAGTTATCCATTGGGTCAGGGCCCATCTGCCCTTCACTGTGTGTTATCTGAGGGAAGTTTTTGGAGTTGGATGGGTCAGGGAGAAATAGGAAGGGTTGTGCCTGTTCTTTGTCACCAATGTCAAGGGAAAACACAGCTGGGTATAAAATTAAAAATAAATCTGAAGAGTCACAGAGACTGGCCTTGGAGGGCTATGCTTACTCAGGATGAGGATTGGGTAAACATGTGGTGGCACATCAGCTATGGATGTCTCCTTGCTTATGTCTGTGTCTGTATTCAGGAGCATATATGTGCAAGTGTGTGCACACCAATGTGGAGGTCAGCAAACAACCTTAGGTGTTACTACTCAGGACACATTCCTCTTGGATTTGTTTGCTTGTCTGTTTGTTTGGTTAGTTGGTTGGTTGGTTTATTTTTTGAGACAAGATCTGTATAGCCATTGCTGGCCTGGAACTGGATATATAGACTAGGCTAGCCTTTAACTCACTGAGATCTATTCATGATTGCCTCTGACTCTGCCTCTGCCTCCCCAAAGGAATGAAAGGCATGCACAACCATGCCTAGTTCACTTTGTTTTAACTTTTAAAATTATGCTTATTTATTCTGTGGGTGCAGGGCACAGTTGTGCTATCACCTGAGTAGCAGCCGGGTTCTAACACTGCAGTCTAACACTCCCCATAGTTACATGTATGTAAAAGCCCCATGTGTGCACACTATAGGCCCAGGTTGCTCTTCCACAAAAAGTGCCCTGGCACTGTGAAAGCATTATGACTGTAGGGCCCAGTCACTGCTATTAGGGTAAACTGGGTTCTCACGGCAGGAGTCTGACTACAGCATCCTGGACAGATATCACATCCCAAAGCAGTGTCCAGATTTGCATCCAGTTGAGTCCAGGGCTTGAAACTGAACAGAGCCCATGACTTGGGAATGAGGTGCCAGCAGGTGGCAGCAGTGAGGCAGAATACAAGGCAAAGCTGGGTTCCTGAAGAACCAACCAGAGTCTGTTGTATAAAAATGCTGTAGACTAACAACTGACATAATGCAGGTTCACGGGTGGGGGCAGCCCCTTCTTGAGAAACTTAGCCATCAAGTGACCTTTCCTACAGATCCTAGACTGTAAAGCAAGGCCAGGTGAAACCGAGAGGTGAGTACTCATGACCAAGAGGACCCTTTCTCAGTCCCACTAAGGTTAAAGACAAGGCTCATCTGGTGGAATGCTTACCTGCCTGACATGCACAGAACCCTTGGATCTGTTTCCAGCAGGGGAAAACAGGGCACAATGGGATACACCTGTCACCCAGCACATGGGAGGACAGAGAGGAGGATCTGTAGGAGTTCAAAGTCATCCTTGGCTACACAACAAGTTCAAGGCCCAGTCTGGGCTACATGAGAGCCCATCCAATAAAATGGGACTTTCTGAAAGGTACAATATCCCTGTCCCCTCTCCTGACTGATGGACTATTTGGGCCTAAATCATCCCAAAGTTTCTATGCTCTGCATCCAGGACAGGATGGATGGATATAGAAGTGTGTCCATGTGCAGTTGGCAGTGAGGCCATGAGAATGAGGTCCATGATCATGAGAGCTCAGGTCATGGGATATGAGGACCATGGGAATTGTGAGGAAAGTAGAGAAAGCAGATACGACAGAGGGCAGTTGTCATCGCCACTTGCAGAGAAGCATGGAGAAGACAATCAATGCCAGGAAGTCTAAGGGAATTGAAATTCACCTCTGCCCTTGTCTCTCAGAGAGAATGATGCCACTTTCTCTGGTACAATCACATCTTCCTGCCTTTCAGGGAACTGATGGCACCTTGTCATGGAAAAGAGTAGGGATGGCCCTCCTACAGAACCAGCCCTTTGGCCACCACAGCCACTGCCTCATCTCTCATGAATCTACTCTAATCATGGACCAGCTGTGACCACTCTCAGAGATGTCCAAGGCAATAAGTCATGAGTGACACATTGCTGTTCTGAGCCTTCTTTGTCATCTTCATCCCAAAAGGCTCTAAAGCAGCCACAGCTAGAAGAAATCACTCAAGTATTTTGTGGGAACAGTCTCCCAGGGGGGCCAGCAGAGATCTGTGGCCTTTGAGGAGAGTTCAGAGGCTGCACAAAGCAGGGAGCCAGAAGTCAGTGTGGAGTGGTGGCATATAAAACTCAATGTTACTGAAGTGCAGTTACCTGTCATGTGCCAGTCACATGACATGTGCCAGGGCATCACTGATCCTTGATTTCTTCTTCTAAGTGTGTGTTAAGGTTGGTGGGAGGCAAAAAGGTTCCTTTAGAAACTGGAGTAGCTATGAAGTCACTGTTGAGGTGAGGGACTCAATCACCCAGGAAGCCGAGCAAAGTTACAGACTCAGCAGCAGCAGCAGTCAGGACATTGGATTTCTGGGGGCACTGTGAAGAGTCCCTGAAGGGTAACAAGAGAGCAAAGAGCATGTGAAGGTGGGGCCACAATACTAGGGTTGAGGACGGAATGTGTTTCCTCAACTCCCCCTTTTCATTGTGTCTGAAGTGAGCAGAAACTGACCACTTTAGCTAAGATTATAGAGAGAAAGACACAGACAACCAGCAGGAGGAGATACATGGTGAAAAACAGGCTGAGGGGAGGGCAGGAGTGGAGGAAATTATGGAGATGAGGAAATAGTGATTACAGACTGCATAGAAAATGGGAAAGACTGGATAAGACAGGTAGTCAAGGTGGAAGAACAGAGACCCCCAGCAAGCAGAAGTGAAGGCCATATCTTCCAGTCAAAATTGGGGACTGGGCTCAAGGGCACAGTCATCTTCTCAGTGACCACAAGGGTGGATCTTCTGCAACATGGGAAAGAAGAAGCCAGAATGATAAAGAAAGTTGCTGGCCACTAGGAAGTGGAGATGTGGAGGTCCTGCCCCCACTCAACTCTCAGCATGAGTAGACCCAGGAAATGTGGCTTACTTTACCCCAATTCTCTCCTGACTCCTGAGCACCCCAGGGTGCCTCCACAGGGCCTCCTCTCCTGCCTGATGGCTCTGCTGGTCTCACTTTCTGGAGGGAATCTGGACATGGCTTGGATCCTGCTTCTGCTGCTGCCAGCAGCATGCCTACAAGCTGGTAAGTGGTGGGAACATGACAACTGGGGACTTAACAACTAGAGGTGTGAGTGGGGACCAGAAGAGCTAGCTGGCATGTAGAGAGAAGACTACACTAGAAGCTAGCCTGTTCTCTGTTCCCAAAGAGAAAATTCATCCTCAGAGTTGACCCAGCCCAACCTCTCCTCATCTGTCCTGTCCCATATGGGACAGTGTGACATAGGGGGAAGTCCTCCGCTGTGTCCCACACCTGCATATGGATTATGGCTCATGAAGCTCTGTGTTGTCCATTCCATCATCTGAAGTGGCTTCAGAAATTCCTCATCCATCTCAGGGATTCAGCAGGATCCAATAGAGAAAGACCATATGGGTTTAACCAATAAGCACTCCTTTCTGGCATCCAGGGTGGCTCAATCAAAATCCCCTTCCTCTGGAAGTTAGCACCAGATCCACAGATGAGGATTCTCTGGCGATAAACAGACTTCCACAAGGACTTTATCTCAACTCTTCCTTTGGTTTTATACATGTGCATTTTAAGGACCAGCTTGTTCTGAACTGGACACAGCCTCAGATATCCGGAGTACTCAGAATCCTGGACTTGAAGCAGAAGGATCAGTGTATTTCTGCTGAGTTCATCTGAATATGAAAAAAAAGTGAAGGATTTTCAGTAGATCGATGGGACCCACCTCACCATCACTCAAGGTGAGCACATCCCAGGTCAGGGTTTGGTGGCCCTGGCTTCCTTGTACGGTAGAGACCTTATGTGTCTCATCCTTCCCACAGATTCCTCTCATGTGCTCTGTCCTCTCCCCAGAACTCTGCCAACTTCCTCTTTCCTCTTACCCACAACCATCCACAAGCCTTAGCTGCTGTCTCTGAGCTGCCCCCTCACTATGCCCTCAGATCCCAAGCCACTCCCAAGCCTCAGCTCGACACAGATGGCCCAGTCTCCTGCTTCTTTCTTCAAACAGCACTACTGCCGTGCTCACCCCTGCCCTTGTTGCCAGCAATCCATGTGTGTTTGGCCTCTCCAGGATGGAATAGTCTTCACTTGGTCCTGTGTCAGGGTCTCCATTGTTTCCAATTTTACACCATATCTTGTGCCTTTCACAGAAGGGGTCTTCAGGTCCCTGAGTATGACCCACCTCCTCTGGGTCTACCTACTTCATCTGTCTCTAAGACACATCCCTGATCTCTCCAGGCCTTAGTTTCTTTATTCCCTCTTCTCCCTCCTTTCCCACATAGGCCCTCACCTTCTCACCCTGATCAGGTCTTCTGGGTGCTTCACCTCCTCCACAGCAGCTGTGACTTCAGCGTCTACACAGAGTGTACTCAGATCCAGCCTAGTCACTGTGTGGGCATTACCCCGCCCACCCATCACCACTGCTGGGCACTCTTGTGGTCATTATATATAGAGAGTCACAGACACCAGCCGAATTCAACCCTTGCCCAAGGTCATGCTGCTGACCAACAGACCCCAAAGGGGCCCTTTACCTCCAAGCGTCTCGCAACCAGTAGACATGTGGCCACTGCTGGCGTTCACTCTATTGTTTGCCTCCCTTCTATCTTGATTTTGTGGAGCATGTAAATATGGTGTAAGCATATGTGAGTGTGTGTGTGTGTGTGTGTGTGTGTGTGTGTGTGTGCTTACATATACAGATTTGTGCTGGGGAAGGCCAGAGTGGAGAACTGGGAATCCTTTTCTAGTAGAACCAACCTTATTCCCTAGAGGCAGGGTCTCCCACTGAACCTGGAACTCACTGTTCTGGGCTAGGCTGAAGGGCTATGAAGCTACATAGATCCTCTTGTCTTCACTGCCCACAGTGTTAAGAGTTACAGGTGCTCACCTGACCTGTCTTACAAATAAGGTGTATGATATCTGAGGATGGAACAACTAAGGTTATTCTGTGACACACACACACACACACACATACACACACATGCACCATTATGTGGTTGCAAAAATTTAATAAAAATAAACATTTAGAAAATAAAATATAAAATTAACAGCCAAATAATAATCAATTGTCATTAATTACATTGTCAGTTCTCAGGGTGCCAGTGATAAATGGGTTTATGCCTTCCAAGTTGGACCCACCTTCCTCTCCCTGGCCAACCACTCCTCATCTTAACCCCTGTGCTGCTTCAGGAAAAAGTCCACAGCCAGAACTGGCCAGGCTGCCTTACATCTGCATTTCCTGTGCCTCCTACAAGGTTTCCCTTAGTGGACTTTCCTGAGATTTCTGTTCTTCTCGGCCTCCTCCATCACCCTCCTTTCCTAATTTCTCCTGGACCTCAAGATAATCTGTTAGGTGCTTGACAGAATGATCAATTTAAGGCAGCCGTGCCTGTCTCTGCTTCAGTCAGACACACCATGTTGTTCTTCTTTAGAAGGACTTCAGGTGGTCCCCAAGGTCACATGCATGTGAGACCAGGGATCTGTCGTTGAGTTATACCTCATGGTCACCATGGGTTCTTCCATCAGTATTTTTATAATTAATTCATTAACTGAATATTCCTGCCCATTGCTTTTAAAATGTTAAAATCAATGATAAAAAGACATTTTATTTCCATTTTTAAAGATGAGTCACACATAGCCCAGACAGGCCTCAAACTTGCTCTGTAACTGAGGATGATCTTGAACTAATTCTCCAGCCTCCACTTCCCAAGAGCTGGGATCACAAGGTGTGTCTCCACTCCTGTGTGCAGTGCATAAGATGGGACTCAGAGCCTCATGCATGCTAGGCAAGCACTCTACCAACTGAACTACATCCACAGACCCCAAAAGAAATGTGTTTATCTGACCAAAATTCCCACACTTAGTGCAAAGAAATCAAATCAGAGGAATATTTGCAACAAGTATTGAGAAAGAACCCTGCAGTTGGTTCATTATTCTTCACATAATTTTGTTTTTGAAGTCAAATTCAATAATACATTCTTTGCAATTTTTCTCTTTCATGTCTAAGCAAAAAGACCGCTGATGCCCACCCCCTCAATGAAAATAGATTTTTCTCTCATGCAATACATCTCAACCAGTTTGCCCTCCCTTCTCTTCTTCTACCCCCGATATCATCCATCTCTCCTTTCCACCAGATCCACCCCACTCCACTCCCGTTTGGTCTTCTGAAAAGAGCAGACTTCCAAGTGATCACAGCCAAACAGAACAAAAAGAGACACAACAAGACAAGGCAAAAGCCCTTCTATTGTGATAGGCTAGACAAGACAACCCAATAGGAGGAAGAGTCCCAAGAGCAAGTAAATTAGCCAGAGACACACCACTCCCACTGTTAGGAGTCCCACAAAAGCACCAAACTAGCAGCCATAACATATACTTAGGGTATCTGGTGCAAATCCAGATCTGGTTTTTAGATTCTCTTGTAGAACCGCATGCGTTTCTGGCCTGTCTATCCCATTCTGCCCCACTGTCATCATTTTTAGTTGTAATTACAATTTGTGTGTACATAGGCGTGTGGGAGTGGGTGTCTCAATGGGATGATCAGAGGACTTTTAGAGTTGAATTCTTTCCTTCCAACTTGCTTTGAAGCAAGGTCTCCCCCTGTTGTGTCTCCTCACCACAGAGTGTAAGATGACTGCTGAGACAGCCTCCTTGTGATTCTCCCATCTCTGCCTCCTGTCTCCCCAAAGCAGTGCTGCAGTTGCAGATGTTCATGACATCTGGCTTTTTATGTTGGTTCTGAGGGAATCAAACCTAGCAGAAATTGTTTTAGCTATTAAGTCTGATTCCCTATTTTTATGAATTTTGAATTTATGTGTATGTGCATGTCAGTGTGATTACATATTTACAAAAACTGTCTGTGTGAACATACATGTGGAGGCCAGGTAACAACTTTGGAAACCTTTCTCGGGACCCTTTATGCCTTTTCTTCTTTCTTTCTTTCTTTTTTTCTTTCTTTCTTTCTTTCTTTCTTTCTTTCTTTCTTTCTTTCTTTCTCTCTCTCTCTCCTGGTTTCTCTTTCTCTCTCCTGGTTTTTCTCTGTCCTGGAACTCAACAAGTGGAACAAACCAGC